TCTGTCAGCTCGTCCGCATTTAGATCTACGGGACTCCCGTCCACACGAAGTGCCTCAACGAACAAATCCTTGTCGAAAGCTTTCGTCTTCCACTTTCGGTCACAAGTTCTCGTCCTCCGTACTGCCACAGTATTCCGTTGACCGATGCCATATCGTATCGCCTGATGGTCGCTATGGGTATATCCTTCGCACACTCTCCAATCCATGTTTGCCATCAGCGACGGACTGCAGAAAGTAACGTCGATAATGGATTCTCGGCCATCTCTGCGAAAAGTGCTGCTGGTGCCTTTATTGGCCAGCATAACTTCCAGTTTTGCCAGAGCTTCCAGCAGACTGTGCCCTCTTGCATTGGAACACCTGCTTCCCCACTCCACTGCCCAAGCATTGAAGTCTCCTCCGATGACTACCGGTCGTCGTCCGACCAGCTCTTCGGTAAGTCCATCAAGCATCTCGTAGAACTTCTCAATCGTCCATCTGGGGGGTGCGTAACAACTACACATGAAGATTCCGTTGATTTTGGCGATGACGAAGCCTTCGTATGAGCTCGCAACCACTTCTTGAATGGGGTATCTGCCCATAACTTGTATAGCTGCCATCCCAGCTCTATCCGCAACCCAGTTACCGTTATCGGGAGGGACTCGATACGGTTCCGCAATGATTGCAACGTCGCACTTTGTTTCTGTTGTCGACTGCCACAACAGTTGCTGAGCAATGTCGCAATGATTGAGGTTTATTTGGGTTACCTCCATTACTGTTGGCCTGCCATCGCCTTTTTGTATGCTAGGCATTTGAAGCCTCCCGTCGTATGATCGTTACCGTCCTCTTTTTTGCAGAGCATACACCTCGGATGCTTCGTGCAGCCTCTTGCAATATGGCCTTTCTCTCCGCATTTCCTGCACAGATCAGATCTGTCAGGGCCATTGCAGTTCCTCGCCTGGTGACCGAATCCCATGCACTTGAAGCATCGCTCCAATTGCTTGGTAACCCGAGGAGTGGCTTTCAGCGAGCACAATGACCAGCCAACCTTGACCTTGCCCGTCTCCAACAGCTTATTCGCTGCAGCTGTCGAAAGCCGTATAACCGCCGTTTGCATGCCGCCGTACGCCTTCCTCATGCGGATTGACATCGGGACATCTCCCAGATCGCAGTTCACTCTCAACGCACTTCTTAGCTCCTCTTCTGTGGTGATCTCGTCCAGGTCCCTGCACTCGACCACTGTCTCCTGGGATAGAGCTCTCACGCTCGCCCCTTCGCCAAGAGACTTTTCGACGAGCTCCTTGAAGGCTGAGCTCTTGATAGCAGGATCCTTCTTCAGCTCAAAGAGGATCTCGCCTTTCTGGGTTCGCCTGGTTTTCACCACGTTCTCTCCTAGTTGCTTCAACTCCGGATCCTCTCGTACCTTCCGGAGGAGTGCTGCATACGACGTTTTGTCCTTAGCTTCGACGATCAGAGCATCGCCCTTTACTTCGCTCCCGACGAGTCCTGGGTATCACCTTCTTCTGTTCAGCTTTCTTCTTCATGTCTTTTTCCTTCCGTTTTTTCCACTTCTCCTTTGGCTTCTCGACGGTACGCCAGCCTTCCTCCTTGTTGTCTTCTTTGTCGTTCTTGACTTTTTTCAACTCCTCTTCCTCTCCTGGAGTTTCCCTTTTCCTCTTCTCCGAGCGTGGATTTCGAGGTCCCTTTGGCGTCTCCTGTATTTCAGCTGCTGCTTTCTCCTTGGCCTCGATCAGTGCCCTTTCGGCAGTTACGGACCTCGTCCTCAGCGCATCCTGTTCACGTTCGGCAGCAATAATGGCGGATTTGATGCCCGTCACCATTTCCTTTATTGCCTTGTGGACGTTGCTCTTATCCTTGATGAAGTCATGGAGTTCATTGATCCTCCTCCTGACCTCCATCAATTTGGTCTTCCCAAGCTGCAATCCTTCTTGGGGTGTGCTACTGCTGGATTTCGGTGTGAACACCTGGCTTAGCATAAGACCTAGCTCTCCTTGGTGTCCTTGCTGCTCACCTTGGGGCTTACTGCTGCTGTTGGAACTCGCTGTTGCCTCCAGGTTCAACACTGGTGATCTCTGCAATATCCCGCTCCTTGCGAACACGTTCGCTCCTCCGTTTTCAATTTCTGGCGTCTTGCCGTCGTCCTTCATATTTTTTTGGGTTTTCTCATTTTCTTCTTTTTTGTTTTTTTCTCCGTTTTTCTCCATTCTGTTGGGTCCCCCCTCCGGGCCGCTATCTCCACTCGTTGTATGTAGTCGCCTATCGTGATCCCATGGTTATCTATGCAAGCAGGGAGGCCATGCTAGGGTTGACACGGTCCTTCATGGGGGCCGTGTTCAGAGCCAGATCGGCGTAAGTCAGGAATGTTACATCTGAGTCTACTACTCACCAATCACCAATTGGTGACGAGTTTTGAACGTATCCGGAGGCCTGCCAAGGTTTTACCGGGACGGGGGCAGCCGCACTATTAGCCCACTCGCCATTTCAAGAAGGTGTCACCCTTCTTTACTTAGGGAGCAGAATAGCACGACTGTCAGCCCTGTAGCGTGGTATCCAATCCATTGTACCGTGTCGTGTCCATAGTTCCATGCCGTATCCAGTATGCCATAATAAGGATCTTACTGGCGTCGATCCTAATGTGCCGGTTGGCACTCCTGCGGGTTGACGAAGCATTTCCTCGATCGCCGTGTTATGGTTACCGCGCCAGTGTTCGCGTCGCACCCCCTCACTTTGCTATTGTCAGAAGGACAACATTGCCCAGGCTACACCACGGGGAGGTGTGAGGTAGGAACTTGTGAGGACCAGAGATAGGAAAAACGCTCTTCCCAGGTTGTCAATTCACCATTTGTAGCCCTGTGTGTGAGTGTGTGTGTTTGTGTGTGTGTGTGTGTGTGTGTGTGTGTGTGTGTCTGTGTGTGTGTCTGTGTGTGTGTCTGTGTGTGTGTGTGTGTGTGTGTGTGTGTATGTGTGTGTGTGTGTGTGTGTGTGTGTGTCTGTGTGTGTGTGTGTGTGTGTGTGTGTGTGTGTGTGTGTGTGTGTGTGTGTGTGTGTGTGTGTGTGTGTGTGTGTGTGTGTGTGTGTGTGTGTGTGTGTGTGTGTGTGTGTGTGTGTGTGTGTGTGTGTGTGTGTGTGTGTGTGTGTGTATGTGTGTGTGTGTGTGTGTGTGTGTGTGTGTGTGTGTGTGTGTGTGTGTGTGTGTGTGTGTTTTTTTTTTTTCTTTTTTTTTTTTTTTTCCTTCAAAGATTATTACCATATCTACATCTGAAAATCATCCTAGAAAATCCTTGTTCCATTCCAATCGTTCCTTTTTCATCTCAATGCATCCCACTCTACTTTACCTAACCAATCCGGCTAAGACCTTGATGTCCTCTGCTGTCCAAAGAAGTCGTCTCCACACTACTCGATCCATAGCCACACTTCGCCAGCCTCGTAGTTTGCGAAGGGTCCGCAGGTTGCCTTTGACTTGGTCGATCCACTATGCCCCGCTGAGTGCCTCTTCTTCTTGTTCCTGTTAGGCCGCTTTCGAAAACCATTTGCACTGGGTCGTCATCCGACGTCCAGCCCACCGTAGTTGCCCAATTTTTGCAATGTGGACGATGGATGGTTCTCCTAGCAGCTGGTCCAATTCGTGGTTCATTCACCTCCTCCACGTTCCGTCATCCATCTGCACTCCACCGTAGATGGTACACAACACCTTTCGTTCGAAAACACCAAGGGCGCGTTGATCCTCCAAGAGTATAGTCCAGGTCTCGTTCTACGGTCACGAGTCTAATCAGCGTCTTGTAGATAGTCAACTTCGTGCGGCGGGAATTTTATTCGACCGGAGCGTCCTCAGGCGTCCAAAGTAGGCACGATTCCTTGCCATAATGCGTCTTTGAATTTCTCTGCTGGTACCATTTTCGGCGATCACCATTGAGCCCACCCAAGTAACACCAATTCATATAATTATATTGAGTAAACCAAAACCTATCGTACAAAGGTTACATAAACTGCTATAGAACATATGTGTTGCTTGGGCAAATACACGAACTCGTCGACCACCTCTATTTCGTCACCGTCAATATGAACTCGGGGTGGGAGGCTAAAATTGTCTTCCCTAAATCCTCTTCCTCTCATGTATTTCGTCTTCGATGCGTTGATGACAAGTCCAATCCGCCTAGCGTAACGTTTATGTGCTACGATTTATTAAAAAATGTCAAATGCGCCTGAGCCTTACATATGTATGTACATCTCATTGAGGGATGATCAGTAGGCTGATTTGACAGCACCTCACGCCCCAGTTGCCAGTCTTCTTGATATGTTGTCTTCGTTGACGGCTTGCTATGATTTAGAAAAAAAAAATCAATGTTACGGAAGAAAACAATTCAATGAGGGGAGGGGTATTAGTGAATGTGCCATGTTTTGTTACCGGGGAAGTAAGGAGTGTAAAAGTGGTCTCTTATGCGCTATGTAATTTGTGAACAGACCCTTAAATTTATAAAATTCTGCTTCCAATTATGCATGGTCTCTTAGCTGTCACCCAATTTTGGAAAAAATCAACCAACATATCTTATGAAAATCGCTTTATTCGATTGTATGGCTCATGGTATCATCGTTGTCATAGGTCAAAACCAAATGGATTAAACTGAAGCCGGCAAACCACAGCCTCACAAGGTAAAATCAAACATGTATTGGTGACCTTCTATCTAAACTGGTAAACCGATTTCATTCATACTAAATTACCATGCAAAAAGAAGATCATTATCTAACGCTCTATCGTCAGCATCAAATGTGCTGAGTAATTGTTAAGATACATGACGTCATTATTCATACATTTGAAGCGTACAATAATCCCTCCATTTATGCGGTGGGGACGGTATCACCCGTATTCCTGAATTCCGCCGCACCCACCGCTGTTTCTAGGCTGTCCTTCAACCAGTCCCGATGATTTTTTGTATGTGATTTGTGTCAATCATAGACAAGTTATTTACAGAAAATCAGCTCAGTACCACCCACCGCATAAATGTAGAGATTACGGTATCTCGATTTTCGTCTGCCGAATCAACCACGCTAGCCGTAGTTGGGTCATTACCTTCGTTACGTCCAGATCATTAAAGATGGGTGTTCTAACGTTTTGTGCGTTGGTGCTTTTGACGATCGGTGCTAACCATTTAGAAGCTGCTCGTATTCTCGGTATATTTCCAACACCGTCAAAATCACATTGGATACTGGGATCAGCACTTTTGAAGGAACTCGCTCTCGATGGACATGAGGTAAGATGAATGAACTGGAGGAAAATTAAAACCGTTTCTTGACTTTTTTACTATTTACCAGGTAACCGACTTGAGTCCGTTTAAACTTTCAAATCCACCGGCAAACTACCATCACGTAGAAATAGAAATTGATCATGAATTTTTCAACGGTGAGTAGTTCTTTGATACAAGGAATTTTCAAATAGAACAACGTCATTTCTTTTACAGGGAAAATAGAACAACTCTTCTCGGACACCGAAAAGTCTCAAGTTCGAAAAATGATTGAAATGTATACCGCAGTCAACTACTTTTCCAACAGCACACTCTCATCACCTGCAGTGAAACGACTGCTTCAATCTAATCAGCAATTCGATTTAGTTATCTTGGAAATCTTCCTCGACCATGCCCTACTTGGCTTTGCGGAACATTTCGGCTGTCCTGTTATCGGTACAACTACACACGGAGTGCTTGAGTGGATTAACTCGCTAGTTGGAACTCCACAACCGCTGTCGTACGTACCTCACGTCCACATTGGATTCTCTAATCCAATGAACTTCTGGCAAAGACTAGCCAATGTTCTTTTTACTATCGTTGACGAAGCTATGTTATCTGTGCTAGTGTATCCAGAGCAGGACAGACTCTACAGGGAAGCATTTCCGAATGCTAAGCGATCGCTAAGCGAGATGAAGAAACACGCAGTATCATTGATATTAGTAAACAACCACTTCAGTCTGAGCTACCCTCGGCCCTACGTTCCGAATATGATCGAAATCGGGGGATTTCATGTGAACCGGAAAGTCAATCCCTTGCCTGAGGTATGATGAATGAAACATCAAATTTAGCTCATTATTAAAATGCCTCAAACATTTCCAGAACATCCGTAGCTTCATCGATAACTCCACCGATGGAGTAATCTACTTCTCGATGGGTTCGAATCTCAAACCATCGCAGATGGGCAAGCAGAAACAGGAAGCTCTACTCCGGGCGTTTTCCAAGGTGAAGCAAAATATCATCTGGAAATGGGACGATGAAGGCTTGGAACTTGACCGCAGCAAGTACCTGATCTCCAAGTGGCTTCCCCAGGACGATATTCTAGCGCATCCAAATGTGAAGCTCTTCATCACCCATGGTGGTTTTCTGAGCTGTACGGAGTCAATCCATCATGGCAAACCCATCGTAGGGATTCCCATTTTTGGCGATCAGCAAATGAATATGGCTCAAGCAGCGCGATCCGGGTGGGGCGTTGCCGTCGAATTCAAAGATTTCAATGAGAAATCCATCAGCGATGCTTTGAATGAAGTACTCGATAATGACAAGTACGTATTTAGCTTAGATGTAGATTTTTCCTGAACACAACCCTTTTCCTTCAACCTCCAGATACACGAAATCAGTACAGACCATTTCAAAACGCTTGCGTGATCAGCCACTGCCGCCGATGGACATGGCAAAGTACTGGGTTAATTACGTCCTCCGTCATGACGGTGCGGAACATCTCAAATCACCGGGACAGCACCTAAGCTTCGTTCAGTATCACAATATCGATGTTTATCTCTTCATTCTGACAGTGGTCGCAATATTGCTTGTGCTTCCAATCACAGCGGTTAAAGCCGGTTACAAACGGGTTGTTAAAAGCAAACCTAGTGTGAGCCGCAAAGGCAAGAAAAAAATCAATTGATAAGAGAAAAAAATATTATGCGAAAGCGTTTAAGTAGAGAATGACTGTTACTGATAAAGTGAAGACTTTCCTAAGCTGCGGAATCAGTAAATAAAGTACTGACCTAGATCAAGCTGCACGTTTGAAAACGAATTGTCATTTTTTTTTTTTTTTTGTTAATTACTTTATTTGTACAGGCTCATTCGAATAAACTTTACAGAGCCAAGTTATCATTTTCTTTATACATTATAAATGTCTTAAATCTAAAATTAAAGGATTGGAACCGATTACTCGCGGTCTTCTCGAGGTTAGTGGATGACAATTGTTTGGATCGGGAGAGGGAAAAGGAGATTTGGAATATGATTTATGATTCAAAAATTTCACTATTTCTAAAACAAATACTTAATCCTATCGACGTTATATCAACTCTGTAATTATACAATTATTACAGAAACAAATCTACAAAAAAAAAAAATACACACACACATACAAAACACAAACTAAACACAAGGTTAATCAAACTTACAATCTATGGTTAATATTCTTCAAGAAAACATATATGAGTTGCATAAACTCCAGATCGCGTCTAGCCAAAATATCCCGAACTGGAACATTAGGTTGTCTACCTCGAGCCCGAAGGGAATCATACAACTCGGATCTGACTCCACGGTGCTCAGCACATGACCAAATAATGTGATCTGCGTCCTGGTAACCTTGTCCACATTCACAGAGATTACTGTCGCCCAGCTCAACACGGAACAAGTGAGCGTTTAACGAGTAGTGATTGGACATGAGGCGAGACATCATACGAATGAAGTCTCGACCCACATCCAACCCCTTGAACCAAGGACACTTCGACACCTTAGGGATGATTGAATATAACCATCGTCCCAAACTCCCTTCACTCCATTTATTTTGCCAGCTGGCGAGGGACTGTTGACGATAAATGAAGAAAAATTCGTCGTAGGCGATTTGTCGATCGTAAATATCGCCTTCCATAGCGCCCACCTTTGCAAGCGAGTCCGCCTTCTCATTGCCCGGAATCGAGCAATGAGATGGGACCCATGCAAAGGTGATGACAAAAGATCTTAAAGATAAAGCACTTAGAAGCTCTCGTATTTTCATGAGAAAATACGAGGAGTGCTTTACCGGCCTCATGGAGCGAATAGCCTCGACAGAACTGAGACTATCTGTAAAAATAAAATAATTATCTGGTGCAAGTGAGGCGATCGTTTCTAGCGTACAATGTATTGCCGCCAGCTCAGCAACATATACGGAACAAGGAGCTTGAAGCATTCGAGAGGCGCTATGAAATTCGTTATAAATACCAAAACCAGCGGACGCCTCTATTAGTGATCCATCTGTGAAGAACGATCTTGCGGAATCAACTTGGCCAAACTTTGCAGCGAAAATTGACGGAGCAATCATGGAACGATGATGCTCTGGGATTCCGCGAATCTCTTGCGTCATTGATAAATCAAAATGAACAGAACTGTCGAAGTCGAAGAAGCAAACACGATAGGGATTATGCTGCGAAGGGCTGACATCCTGTGTTATGTACACGTAGTACAATGACATAAAACGAGTTTGAGGGTTTAGCTCAAGAAGCTTCTCAAAGTTTGCAATCACCAGTGGGTTCATAATTTCACAACGGGTGAGGAGCCTGAGGGATAGTTCCGAAAACCGATCAGAGAGTGGCAACATGCCCGCTAACACTTCGAGACTCATCGTATGAGTCGAGTGCATGCATCCTAACGCGATACGAAGACAGCGATACTGGATCCGTTCCAGTTTGATGATGTGCGTTTTAGCCGCCGACTGGAAGCAAAAACTACCGTACTCTAAAACCGATAAAATCGTTGTCCGGTACAACGTTAGAAGATCTTGCGGATGGGCTCCCCACCACGTTCCGGTAATTGTTCGGAGAAAATTGATCCTTTGTTGGCATTTCCGCTTCAGATACTCAATGTGGGATCTCCAGGTGCATTTTGAATCGAACCAGACCCCAAGATATTTGAAGGACATAGAATGAGTGATCGGTTTACCCAAAAGTTGAAGCTTTGGTTGTGCTGGGCTATGCTTCCTAGAAAAAACGACCAACTCAGTTTTCTCCGTGGAGAATTCGATACCTAGCTGGATAGCCCAAGTAGACAAATTGTCTAAGGTATCCTGTAAGGGTCCTTGCAGATCGGCCTCTCTGGGTCCTGTCATAGACACTACTCCGTCATCTGCAAGTTGTCTCAACGTGCAGTTGTCCCTTAGACAATTGTCAATTTCTCTGACGTAGAAATTATACAGAAGGGGGCTTAAACATGAGCCCTGGGGGAGACCCATGTAGCTAAATCGTGAAGCTGTAGAGTTTCCATGAGAAAAGCTCATATGTTTCTCTGACAGCAAATTGTACAAAAAGTTATTAATTAATGGAGAAAGGCCACAAGCGTGGAGTTTGTCTGAAAGGACTTCAACCGATACTGAATCAAAAGCCCCCTTAATATCCAAGAAGACAGAAGCCATTTGCTCTTTATTAGCAAAAGCCAACTGAATTTCAGTGGAAAGCAACGCGAGACAGTCGTTCGTTCCCTTGCCCCTACGGAAACCAAATTGAGTATCTGAGAGTAGGTGGTTCAACTCAACCCATTTGTCCAGACGAAAAAGGATCATTTTCTCCATCAATTTTCGAATGCACGATAACATCGCTATGGGACGATACGAATTGTGATCTGACGCGGGTTTTCCAGGCTTTTTAATGGCTATAACTCTCACCCGCCTCCAATCATCCGGAACAATATTGAGCTCCAGGAACTGACCAAACAAGTTCAACATGCGCCTCTTAGCGACGTCTGGGAGGTTCTTCAACAAGTTGAACTTGATTCTATCAGCCCCCGGAGCCGAATTGCCACACGAAAGGAGCGCGAGTGAGAGCTCCAGCATTGAAAAAGGCTGGCTGATCTCGTCTACCGAATTCGTCGTTTTGCGAGGAATCATCTGTGCCGGCACAGAATCAGGACATACTTTTCGCGCGAACTTGAGAATCCAACTATCGGAGTACTCCTCGCTCTCGTTGTTTGAAGACCGGTTACGCATCCTTCGCGCCGCATTCCAAAGCGTATTCATCGACGTTTCGCGCGATAATCCGTCCACGAATTGCCGCCAGTATCCGCGTTTCTTGGCTTTGATGAGGCTCTTGAGTTCGCGTTCAAGAGCCGAGTACGCTTCGAAATGTACGGGTGTTCCACGTTTCCGGAAAAGCTTAAACGCGTCGGACTTTTTACGATAAACCTCAGTGCATTGCTGGTCCCACCAAGGGGAAGGAGGTTTCCTACGGAAAGACGTTACTGGAACCGGCCGAGTTTGAGCTTGAAGCGCGCTGTCCAAGATCAGATTGGAGAGGAAGTTATATTCCTCCAACGGTGGAAGCCCTTCTACCGACGTTAGGGCATCTTCTATCACATTCTTGAACGTTGTCCAATCGATATTACGGGTAAGATCGTACGCGACGTTAACGGGTTCCGACGGATTGAACCCACTGGCAACTGAAACTTTGATCGGCAAGTGATCACTATCGTGGGGATCTTGGATCACATTCCACGTGCAATCCAACGATAATGAGTTAGAGCAAAGTGTGAGGTCTAATCTACTTCCATTCGAGGATGGGCCAGCCAAACGTGTTACTTCTCCATTGTTAAGAATTGTCATATTAAAGCTGTCGCAGAGGTCATATATCAAAGTAGAACGGTTGTCATCATGCAGTTCCCCCCAGCCTGTACCGTGGGAATTCAAATCTCCCATAATCAACCGTGGAGCAGGAAGTACCGAACAGATATCTGAAAGTTGTTTGCGATTAACAACGGCTCTAGGAGGAATATAAACAGAAGCAATACAAAGGCTCTTACCTTTAATAATAGCCTGACATGCAACAACTTCAATACCTGGAAATTGTGGAAGATTCACTCTATAGAAGGAATGGCACTTTTTGATCCCCAAAAGTACCCCTCCTCCACGCGAATCCTCACGATCCAGTCGAATAATGTTAAAATCATAAAAAGGAAGATCTATATCTGAAGAGAGCCAAGTTTCACAAAGAGCAAATGCATCACAATCATTATTGTGAACTAAAAACTTAAAAGAGTCTAATTTAGGAATAAGACTTCGACAATTCCACTGTAGAATAGTGATCAAATCCCCGACCTCGTTTGGAAAATTATCCATCGAAGGAAATGATTGCTGCAATGAGGGGCCACTTCAATGTCAATTGCTTCAAGAGGGTCTTCACAGAAGGAAGCATTGCCAGAACAATGCTTTTGAGAGGATCAGAAATATTGAGGTACTTGAGAATATCGTCCACAATTTTATCAAATGAGAACAACCCGGATGAAGAAGGGGCTTCTGTTCTTAAAACTGGGCCATCAGGGGTTTTTGATGTCCCCGGGAGAGATGGAAAGTTCTGGTTATAGTCAGTTCGGCGGAAACCAGGAGGAGTTGAAACTTCCTTTTTTCCATCACTCCTTGATTTGGGCAAGCTGATTTGGGGTTCCTTATCTGCAACTTTCCGCGAACGGATGCGTTTTCGTTTCCGTGCAGAACCTTCCGGAAAACTGAAAGAAACTCCCTCCTCAGCCAAGTCAGAGTCAGACTCGTCATCAGACAAAACAGCAAAGGGATTTTTGTCGTTGGTTGATGGTGTGGCTGTTTTTAGCATTGCTGCAAAAGACTGCCTGGAACGCTCCTTAAGAGAGCGTTCTAGTTTCTCCCCGCGTTGTTTGTACGCCGGGCACGATGAGAGACCATGAGGAGTTCCCTTACAGTACACGCATTTTGGTGCAGTGACTGTGCAGGCGCCATCCTCGTGCTTCTCCCCGCATTTGGAACAGCGTGCCTTGCTGCCACAGTGAGAGGCCGTATGTCCCAACTGTTTGCAATTTTGGCAGTTCATGACCCGAGGAACAAACAAACGCACAGGTAGCCGAAGTTTTCCCAACTCGATGTAGTGAGGAAGGGCTGAACCAGAAAAGGTCACCCGAAACGAGTCTGTGGGGGTAAAGCTCTTTTTACCCTCGCTGAAAGATACTGAGTTCAGCTTCTGGACTTCCAGTATCTCAACCGTGGGAAGCAAGGGGTTCTTG